GACTTTATTCCTTCTTAATTTCAACTAATCCACATCAATTTGACGAATTGTTAGAGTATAACTTGGTTTTATAAGAATCATCTATCTTGCAGGTGACGTCAAGGCTCGTTGCTGTTTCTAAAAAATTTGTTTTCCCAGCAGAGAAGAAATGATGAAGAGGGAGAAGAGTCGAGCCCGCCCTGGACTGTGATAGTTCTCCTCGCCGCGGTTTGTTCCGGCGGTGTCTTTTCAAGCCAGTTCAAGACTGCAGCCCGTCCGCCACAGAGACGAACAGCCCGGTTGCGTTTACTGTGGCTGTGGGTCGACGCACAGAGGGCAGAGCAGAGCCAGAGGCGACACCTGGAAGGCTCGTTCACAGGTGAGCTCATCAAATATGATGATTTGCTTGGATGGACTGTTGATCACACTGCAGGGCAGAATTTCAATGCTTCTCCATCTTATTTGGGATGTCGTATCAAATGTTGTATGATACTGTAATAATAATAAAAACTTTATTTATAATCCACTTTTCTTAGTAAAGTTACAAAGGCTTTATAGAAAAAGGGAAAACAATAAAAGGAAATAACCTGAAGCATAATAAAAAGAGAGAACAGCACTAAATAAAAAATCCAAACCAATGTAGCGCCCTCAGTGTCAATCAACAGTAATAATAAGACACTAACATCTTATCTAGTCCCGATGAGCAGTTGTCTTGAATAATTCGGGACTGAATTAATGTATAGTTGAACAATGACAATTATTGCCTCAAACCGGTATACCCAGTGATACACACACTGTAATTCGTTTTGAAAAGAATGGAAATATTAAATAATAATAAATCAAAAAGGGAAATCAACAGAAAAGTCCGTTATGGAAGTGAAAACTCCAAGAAAATGTCCTTCAGTTTATTGGTGTTTCTTTTATCCACAGGTACTCCTTGTGATTAAGAGCTCAAGAGTTTCAGTTCAAATTGTTTGTGTGTATCTGTTCTAAGTGTTCAACTACTATTACTACTACTACCCGGTGTAGGAAATTAGTGTTTGTGTATCTTATCTGTAACCATGGGACTGGGTATCAATTTAAATCAGATGTCCTCTGTGGGCAGTTCCTACGGTTGCCAACACCGTTTCTCCAACCGTCCACAGGGTCAAAGGGCTGGGCTCGCCAATCTTTGATTCTATCTGGTCACAAAACCAACCTACACAGATAAGTGCAAGGATAATAAGTTATTGGGTTTCTCTTTATGTATCTTAGATGAGATCTCCTTAATTCTTTTCCCTCATAGAATATCATACACCATATACAAACAATTAATGGATATAACTATTGTACTACAATAACCTTAATTTAACAACTAGTAATTTTTTTAACATGAAACCATTTTAAACCATGAATTTGTATTTTATAACTAATGAATAAATTATTACAATGAATTTCCCCTCTGCCACATCAACATTTATATTCTTAACCTGTAACAGATTACTTATATGCATTCTTACGGCAAAAAAATTACTATTTAACAATTCAACTAAAATATTTTCCTGTACTGGTTTACATTTTTAGCACCATTCCAATGTACTGTTTAACTCAATCATGAAATGAACTAAATTATACCTTATGATTCTCTTAGCATGTACTTCTAACAACCAAAAATTAGTTTAATACCATTAAATGGCATTACAAAGCATTAGAGTACAGAGTCCCAATTCAACCAATAGCCTAATGATGAATTGTTAGAAAACAGCGTAATTTCCTTTAAAGTTTAGAACCGTGTTAGTCACTCCATTAACCAGAGCTAGCAATTAGCTTATCCGTTAGCAGTTATGCTTAGCCGCTAGCGATCTTTTCAAGATCATAAATATAATGATACAGTTTGCACCGAAGCCATTTAATAAATTCAACACATGTTCACAATCACCGGTTGGTTTTATTATGAGAAATATCTGACTCAACCTGCAGTTTAATTGCAACTCTTTTATACACAATGCTAACAACAAAAAAAGCTAGCATACACTGTGGCAACTCACCGAGTTCTCAACAATAATAACTGGACAGAAGCTGTTTTTCCCTCGCTCACAGTTGGAACTTCTATTGAAAGAGCATCTTATTAGCATTTTCCATGGACATTAATCTGACTTTGATGACTATTTGCGGTGTTCATACCAGGAGATTGCTTTTATTTGTTGTCCGCATGCTCGTACATCTGCGGTGTTGAGAGAGCTGCTGCGTGAAAAGGAGGCCACGTAGCCACCTCAAAGCAACAGGTGCAATCATGTATAAGCGCCCCTTGTTGGAAACAGCAAGCAATTACACCTCTAAACCAGCATATACTGGGTTTTTTGTAGCCCTAAAATCCATGTAGGGTTACACCCTC